CTCTCTCGGGGGCGCGGGAGACCGCTCGCTGCCAGCCATTTCCGCGACGCCCCAATGCGAACGGCCCCCCGGTGTTTTTCGGCCCGGTTCCCCAGGTGCGACACGAACCAGGCCTCAAGTGCTGAGCTCCAGAAGCGGGGGAAGGGGAGGCGGGGTGTTTAAGGGACTCCTTCAGCTGCCATTTATGGGGCAAAGCGCCGGCCAACAGCCCCTGCGGACCCCCCGCCCCAGGGGACGCTCGGGGGCTTCGCGCGACCCCTTTTTGCCCCTCCTGGCTCGCCATCGCCCCCTCTCGGCTCGCTGTAGTCTCCTCCGCGGCGAGCCCAGCCCGGGGACGCGGCCCCCCCGCCGAGCACCGGCAACCCCCCACGGGAGACATCAAGTGTGACCCGGTTTCGCGGCCCTCCCGCCCGGCTCACCTCAGGCCCGCGGCCGCGCCGCTCGCCGCGCTCTCTCACCGCTGTCGCTGCCGCCACCGTTAACGACTTTGAAACATGGCTCCCTCGTTCAAACCCACCAATCAGCGGAGCCCGGCCGCGCCGATTGGGCCAACCGTCGCCGGGGGGCGGGGAGAGGCCCGGGCCCCCGGATGAAAACAACCCGCCCCCTCCGCCCTCCCCGGAAGCCAGCCGCGAGCTCTGAGGCTGCTGGGATATGTAGTGTGCCTGACTTGAGGCGGTCTGCAGGGAGAGGAGTGGAGACACTACAACTCCCAGAAAGCACCACCAAGCGGAGGAAAAGGAGCGTTCACTAATGGCAGCGGCTGGCCAATCAGTGCTGAGAGGGGGCGGGGCCTCGCTTCCCCCAGCTTTCGGGGGGGAAGGTATTGAGGATGCTGGATTAGTCCATTGTGCAGCTGATGGGGGGGGGGGGCGGACAGACCACAGGGCTTCGCATCTTTTGTGTCCTGTTATTTCCCTCCCGCCCCTTATTCTGTGGGTGTAACATTCGCGCACCTACAGACCCGGGGAAAGGGAGGGGGCTGCTGCCAGCCCCCCTTGCCTCCCCCACTGCGAGGTGGTATGTTCCCCCTCTCCAGGGTGCAAAGTTGCACCCCAGTTACCCCCCAGCCCCTGGGGTCTCTCCTCCCAGTGCCTCCCTGCACAGGTAACTGCATTGCAGGCACTGGCAAGCAATCTCCAGAGCAGGCATCACCCCAGGGGCTAGCAAAACCCCACCACATTGAGCAGCTTTTTTTTGACACTCCAAGAACATGAAGCCGGAGCCTTTTAGGATGCTAAAGCTGGGGTGCAGACTCACCCGCACAAGAAAACCTCAGTCTATTCAACAAGAGCACTGGAGAGAAAGAGACTGGCTAGCTGTCACTTGGCACCTCGAACCCTACAGAAGCAGTGAGCATATGCAGCGGCCTTGCGGGCCCCTAGCAATGAGATAAAGTTCAAGGCTTCTCGCCCTGTTTGCCATGACTCAGCAAGAATCGGTTTGGCAAAAATAAAGTGTTTTTCAAGGCTGGTGGAGTCACAAATGAACCATATCCCCAGAGGCAGTGCAATGCAGTCCCACAACTCATTATCCCAATGCAGGAGCTGCAAATGCGCACCATGCTTTGGTCAAACTGATTTACTAGCAGTAGCTCAAAGTTGCAGAAAGCAGATTCAGATTGCACATTGGGAGAAACTTCTTCACAGTTGGGGGAGAGAGAGAGAGAGAGAGAGACTGTGGAGTGGACTAACTGCCTAGGAAAGTGTTGCAGAATCTCCATCCTTGGAGGCTTTCAAGAGGCTGGAGAAGCATCAGTAGGGAGGAGCTATGCCAGGAGTGTGCTCTAAAGAGCAAAGTTGGAAGACCAGGAACCCTGGTTGGGGTATCGCGAGAAGGGCTCTGCAGTTCAGAGCATATGGGTACTGGAGAAGACCAGCGAGCCAAGAGCCTCTTCCCTTCCACTTCGGTTCAGCTATTTGTATATGGGTGTCTACTGGGGAAGGGAGGAGGCTCTCTGTTCGCTAGCAAGAGAATGAAGCAGAACTCCAGAATGGGCTTAGCGACAAAAATTGATAGAGCTGGAATAAGTTTATGGAGAAGACGGGGTCATGGAAAGGAGAGTTCTGGCTGCAACGTGTGTGGGGTTTGCTGTCCCCAGTTGCTGAGCAGAGTGGATGGGGGTGTTTTCTCCAGGCTTCTGGGCTTTGCTGGTTGCCACACAGGGCCAGGAAGGATTATTTTTCCTTTCCCCCCTGTCCTGCGTTGGGCAGGGACTGCCTTCCTCAGCCACACTGGATGCTGGCTACAGTAGTAGGACGCTGGCAGTGCATTACCTGTGGCAAATTACAGTTTGGGGGCAATCTACCTTATAGTTTTGTGACAGGGTTGTTTGTGTAATTTTAAGAACAAGCTAGGCAAGCACTTGTCTAGTTTGGGTCAGAAAGAGATGATCCTGCCTTGAGCAGTAGATGACATCCTGAGGACCTTTCCAATCTATTTTTCTAGGATTCCATGACTTGCACAGAAACATTTGGGGGAAAAGTGCCCAACAAGATTCTCTGCATTGCCACACTGCCCAAGAGCAGAGACAGAACAACAGCATTTCAAAGCTTCACCCTGAAATTGCTGCTTAAAAGGAGCGTTAGTATCGTGCTTTCAGGGCAATTTGACAAGTCATTCTGGAGACTCACATTCCTCCTAACCACTAAATGTTCATTCCTACCCAGCTGTAAGGTATACTTTTAAGATACTTAAAGGTAAAAAACAAACAAACAACCCAAAACAAAACCATTGTCAATGATTTAATTTTTAAGAGCATTAGGACTCAGTTCTCCCCACCTTGCAGCTCCCAGTCTGATTTCTTCCTGTGTAGAGCAGTTGAAAACAGTAGCAAATCAGAACAGTTACTCAATCACAAGATTACACAGTCACACATAAAAGCCAAAACAAAGCCAGATGGCTCAATTATAACAACTGCATTAATGTCCTATTTTGCAGGCAGCAAGAATTTAAGATGGTAGCGCACAATCACCACTGCGAATTTACAGAATCACAGAACTCAAATGGTAAATTAAGGACCATTACTTAATGGCTTGCTTCTTTCTTCTAATTCTTGTTTGGAAGACTAGGTGCTACACCAGTTAAAACAGATCATACTTCATGCCAAATGGGAAGTATGCATTCACAACAAAAAAGCACAAAAAGTCACAAATAGTAACTCTTGAGCATGACTGTTCTTATATTGTTCTTTATATAATATATGAAGAATATACCTGTTCTCTAAAGCAGCATTTTTCAAAATATAGGGCAAGCACCCTGAAAAGTTCCTGGAAGGCAGGACCAGAGTTTAACAGAAAGCAAACAAACAAGCAAAATATGATTCGACAGCACTGAACAAAAACTGTCAGCTAAAGGTGATGGTAAGGAGAGAAGTGGCCAGCTTTGCTGTAATGCAGCATGGACCCCAGAAGTTTGGGAAATGCTGCTCTACAGAAGTCCTACCGTCGTGGACACCAGTGCAGGTCTATAAGGGATGCCACTCAATGGACTCCACGAGGATGAAGAACTGCCTGATCTTGGTTACACCTGTCTCCATCACCTCTCTCTAGCCTACAGCAACACAGTACACCCGGCAGGAAGCCATCAGCTATTAGGAACTCCAGCCAGCAAAGAACAGGTTTCTCCTGGTCACGAAGGCCTATGTGAACACACCCACCCTGCCCTGCCCTGCCTGCATTGGCTTCCCCAGGGTAGAGCAGTGCCAGGCTCAACATCACAGCTGTTCAACAGTGGAGTTGTGGCACATCTAAAGATCACCTAGAGCACACAGCTAACAACTCCTCTGCTTGGAGTTTCTCACCAGTAGGGTCCAGCACACTCATGCAGGACACAGCACTCCCCCAGGACCCAACTGAAGGGTAGGCAGATGTGCCCAGAACCAAGGCCCACTCCAAGCCCCTGTCCTTCCCCCCATTTGTGTCTACAGTGACCACTGACTCTCCCTATGCCTGAAGGAGGATATTGGTACCCAAAAGCTTACAAAGAACATTTTTTCCAGCTATTTAGTTGTTCTAAGGAAAGATATCGCACGTACCCAAAGAACTTTGTCTTTCAGTCCCAATACAGACACCGTGCAGCTTACACACTAGAAACCAAAGCAGTCCTACCCTGCCACTGCATTGCACATGCTTCACCCTGGGGCCAGGGGGAGGAGAGAAAAGCAGAGCAGCCCGTGACACATGCTGCTCAGAGAGTGCCAAAGTGAGCAGGGCACCAGGACAAATACACAGCACCTTGATGCACCCTGGGGTAAGGCCAGAAAGGGGATGGGTACAGATTATGGGGGCATCCTGCAGCTCCCTGCCACCCAGGCCAGGAAGGGGATGGGTGAAGATTATGGTGGTCTGGGGGGGGGCAGTTCTGCAGCCTCCTGAGCCTGACCAAGCGTCTCTACTCCTCCCTTTCTCCCCTCCCCACCCAACAGCATAAAAAGGACGCGGGCCCTTTAACACCAATCCGCCCATTCCCCAGTGCAGCCGAGAGGGGGCGCCAAAGCCCTACGCTCTGACGTAGCCAACGGCCTGCACATGCTCACTAGGTCAACAACGCCCCCACCCCCTTCTTGCGCATGCGCCACTACTCACCCTCCTACCCCCTCCCCGGAATGGCGCATGCGCCCTCGGGGCCCCAAGCCGGCACGGCCCTCGCGCATGCGCACTCCCCTCCCTCAGCCGCTGGCCGCTGAACGGGCGATGGAGACGGCGGCTGGGGGCCGCTGAGGCGGCTCGGGGCCCTGAGGGGCGGCCGCAGTGCCCGCTTCCGCCGGGGAGGGAAGGGGCAGGGGCTGGGCCCTTCAACGGCCTTTCAGGTGAGGGCGGCGTGAGAGACACGGAGGGCAGCCAATGGGAGCGCCCCGTCCGCGGGAACCCGCCCCCCGGGCGCCTCCCTGCCTGGGATTGGTGCGGGGGCGGGGCACAGTAGTTCCCCAGCCACGCGAACGGGGATGTCAACCCCCGCTTCCGCCGGGGAGGGAAGGGGCAGGGGCTGGGCCCTTCAACGGCCTTTCAGGTGAGGGCGGCGTGAGAGACACGGAGGGCAGCCAATGGGAGCGCCCCGTCCGCGGGAACCCGCCCCCCGGGCGCCTCCCTGCCTGGGATTGGTGCGGGGGCGGGGCACAGTAGTTCCCCAGCCACGCGAACGGGGATGTCAACCCTAGCAGGACCCCCTGGCTGGTTGCCATGGAGACTGGGGGGGCGCCCCCTGGGCACCCACACCAGTCCACGGTGCCCTCTCCTTCTGGCGTGTGGTGGCTGTGGGCTGTCCTCGTAGCCTCCACTCCGGGACGAGTCTGCACCACGGGCGGCTCACGAAACCCCCAACTCACCCTCCTGGGTGGGCAGCGGAGGGCACCACAAAACCCCGGCTCGCGCAATGTGAAAGGGCCCCACAGGGCGGGCGCTTCGCACAGTCTTCGGACACCTGAACGTCGCTCCGCGAAGAGCGGACTGGAGCCCGACTCCCTTGGAGGTCGCGTCTCCGCCTGCGACCGAGGGACGCCGCAGAGCCCCAGGGAAACTCCGCCGTCTCAGTCCCCGGCGGGAACGTCCCAGCAGGGGAAGCAAGAGCAAGGCTGAGCTGGCACGGTTTCAGCGGGTGTTGGGAAATCCCACCTGGGCTGACAGAGGTCGAAAAATCTCTCAAGATTCCCCTATACGAATAGCCGAACCAACTGCATGGTCTTTTAAGGCAAGCCTTAGTTTTGTATCTGCCACCCCGATGCTGCGGTGAGGAGCCTTCCAGGGGTGCCCTAGAGAGGGAGAAGCGCTGGCATGTATTGAGTTCCTCCCAACATCTGCCCTTTAGCAGAGATGAGTAGGGAGGGACTTGGAGAGGGTGGGGGCGGGGCTTGTGCCTTGGGGGCGGGGAAGGGAGTAGGCTCTCCGTGTCAAATTACTAATTTGAAGTGTCTCTGCAGCTGGTCCAGGAGGCACAGCCTGCTGAGATTTCCCAGCCCAGAGTTTTCTCCCTGCAGCTCCTCTCTGGGGGTGAGTACAGAAACACACATGCTCCCTCCCCAGCACGAATCCAGAGAGCCTGTGTGTCTGTCCCCTGTACACCCGGAAAGGGCGAGGTGGGGCCACCCGGCGTGTCCTCTGCCCCCAGGCCTGAGCATGGGGTGGAAATGGGGCAGAGAGCAGCTGCTTCCAGTGCAAACACAGAAGTGAGGACAATCCTGTACACAAGGAGTGCTGAGATGCAGGCAAAGCCAGTGCAGAGGCTGCCGGTCCAGTGCATGCTCTGTGGGGAGGGAACGCTTAGCTCTGAAACAGTAAGGTTTGTTAATAATCTGGTTCCAGAAAAATGACTGCTTAGAATAACATTAGGGGTAAGTCACTTCTTCACTACAGAGAGTGTCTGTGTCTGTGGTGTACTGGGAAAAGAACGTATCTAGGACACGCTTCCTCAGGGGCATTTCTGCTCCTCTCTTATGCCAGCATAATTCTCTGGAATGCTGGGGTTTCCATCAAAATGCTGCCGGGCGTTAGATCTTGTCTTTCCTTATCCGTGAGTGTACATGTTCCTCCTCCTACTGACCTATTAACTATGTAGGTAAGTAATACTCTGTAGATTAATAGGCTTCTAGTTTTTCCCAACTTCTTAGGAGCACTACAGCTCTTTTGTGTTCCTTCCTTTGCCACTGTTCTTGAGAGGAGAGGTTTGGGGAGTGAGCCTGTAGCTCCTGGGATCCCACTGAAATGCAGGGGGTCCATTGTAACACTTCCCGAGGTCCGGCCAGAGGAATTGCGTACCTTCAGCACACCTGGGAGCTGGTGAAACTCGACCCGGGGCTAATCCTTTCTAGAACGGAAAATGGAAAATGATGCTTTAAGCTTCAAACAAACTCCCTTGTGCTGGCTGCCAGCTGCTTTTGTTTCAGAGCCTCCTTCATTGTTGGGAAGAGCTTTATGATAGGTGTAAGAGGGGGCCGCATTGTTCTTTTAATGTGCCATTGTTGGGCAATAGAGCACAAGCACATATTTTGAAGGCCTCACCCAGTGCTGGTCCCTTTAAAAAATTCAGGAAGAGCTTTGATCCTCTATGGGAGGCGGAGACCGAGGGGGCGTGAGGCTGAGAGGGAAGGAGGGAGGGCCTTTTGCTTCTCTGCTGCAGAGCTGCAGCACTCAATCAAGGTAATGGAGGAATAGGCAGAGGGTGAGCTCCTGGGGCTTCAGGGCCTCGCTGTGCTTTCGTGTTTCCAGCATGCAGCATGGCATGATCACTTCAGCCAGAGCTGCTTTTCCTTCTGAGGCTTTGCCTGAGACAAGGCAGAGCTGGAGGCTGGAGACTGAGCCTCCTAGACCTTTAGCAGAGGGGGTAGACCCCCTAGACCCTATGTGGAGCTACATCACAAAGGAGCTCTCAAGCTGTACCTGGACCATGTAAGGCGGCTGAATGGGATGTGTTGCGCATGCATGCGACTTGCAGTCGTTTGTAAAGCAAATCCAAGGGGGCTTAGCCTAGTTGTTGCTGAAATGGATGTTTTGCTGCCAGTTTTCTGGGCGACTAAATCCTGAAGCCTGAGGTGTAGCTTCAAGGATGCTTGCTTTCTCTGAGCAGTAAGAAGCTGCTGTTGTTAATGCTACAAGTGGAAGTAAAATGCTGCATTGCTAATATGTTCTTCCCTCTTTTTCTTCCCTGCTCTCTAATTGTCTGCTCAGAGGTCAGATGTTTGCACAGATCCTGGAGAAAAGGAGAGTCTGGACTGGGTAAGCGCACTGGTGTTCTGGACCATGGACTCGATGAGAATCTCCCTAGTGTGAAAATGTCGAGCAGCAACCGGGAATTAGTGATTGACTTTATATCCTACAAGCTGTCACAGCGAGGACACAGCTGGAGTCAGCTTGAGGGGCAGGATGAGACCAGGACTGAGTTTGCAGAAGAGGAGGACATGGCAAGTGTCCCAAACGGGAGTCCGTCCTGGCATCCCGCTGCCAGCCACGTAGTGAATGGGGCTGCTGGACACAGGAACAACCTGGAAGCCCAGGAGAGTGTTCCGGCGGCTGAAGTGCGGCAGGCGCTAAGGGAGGCGGGAGACGAGTTTGAGCTGAGGTACCGCAGGGCCTTCAGCGACCTCACATCCCAGCTCCACATCACCCCTGGCACAGCATACCAGAGCTTCGAGCAGGTGGTGAATGAACTGTTCCGGGATGGAGTGAACTGGGGGCGCATTGTGGCCTTTTTCTCCTTCGGAGGGGCCTTGTGTGTGGAGAGCGTCGACAAGGAAATGCAGGTGCTGGTTGGACGTATTGTCTCGTGGATGACCACCTACCTGACCGACCACCTCGACCCCTGGATCCAGGAGAACGGCGGTTGGGTAAGAAGCTCCTTCTCCAAGGGAGAGCTCCCCATTCTCCTCTGCCTTGCTAACAGCATTGCACATCCTAGCCCTTGTCCCTGGTGCCCAGGGTGGAACAACTGGTGCAGGGCCTTTCCCATTGTGTTCTTTGCCATGAGGGGTCACTCCATTGTGGTGGAGCAAGGGGATGCTACCCAGGCTTGCCCTCTGATGGGCCCTTTTCATCCCGCTGTCTTGCCTATCTCCTTGGCCATTCTGTACAAAGGCCTGTTTCCCAGAGCCTTGTGCACCTACAATCCAGGCTTTGTCTGAAACAGAAGGCCCATCTCTTAGGTCTGACCTGGAGTGTCAGTGACCCAGCCCAGGGCTGAGACAATTCTTTGTTCAGTTGGGACCTCTTAGTGCTAGGCCTGGACTGTTTGGTGTGGTGAGGTCTGAGGCAACGGAAACGGGAATCCCTGGTCTGCTTCATTTGCAAGTGAAGTGTGCTAGAGATTGTCCTGCTTCCTGTGGGCCTCTGCATTACCTGGCAGCCTGGCCCTAGATCAGCAGAGCGTTGCAGGGTAGCACTGAAGTGCAGAGTCAGTGCAAACAGCCTGCTGCTGCCCGCTGGATCCTGAGCAGTGTACGCAGGGTGCTGTCCACAGGCTTGTATGAATGTTACTGCATGTTCCAGAGACATGCTCTGGTAGCGTCTGGGCTGCCTGAGCTGTGGAAGTGCTTAGGCCTGTGAGATTTTGCTGTGGAATTTTGCCAGGGGGAGGTATTATGGTCTGCGGATGATCTTGCTCACTATTTACTCCCACGTCCCTGTGATGTTGCCTGTATTAGTATTTGCCGAGAAGGGAGGACACAGCATCAGCTCCTGGCATTTAAATAAAGGAATATCACACCTTTGCACATTGGTGAGCCTGTGGCAGTGGGGAAAAGCTACATTCACCTTAACACCTCTGTAGCCATAACCACTAATCCCTCCCCAAAGCTCTGGGGGAGCATGGGGACTGGCTGCTAGTGGCACAGGTGACTTTGGAAGGGCCTCTTGGAGCTTGTGGAAAGCCAGTGTTAGGTCCAGCACCAGGGTGGAGGCAGCAGGGAGCCTGAGCACCCAGGGACAGACTGGATTTTTTTCCTGTTACAAGCAGCCCCCTTGCTTTGTGGATGACGCTGGGGTTCTTCCCTGCTTTGCAACCCCCATGCAAGCAACACCCCCCACCAGCTTTGGCTCTTAATGCCAGAGATTAGTCCTAGAACTGAGAGCTTGAGTAGAGGTTTGCGAGTCCGTGTGGCTGCTGCTGGTGAGGATTGGGTTGTAGCCTGGAGACCCTGGAGATAATGCAGTCTGATTTTTTTGTAAGTGAACTCCCTGGGGATTTAGATTAAATCACTGATGGAAAATCACTGGTCCCTCTTGTTGGGAATGTAATACCCTTTCCCCCACCCCCCTCTCCCCTTTCCCCCAACCTAGTATCATTGCTAAGGCTCTTTCTTCTTGTCTGAGCACAGATTCCGTGTTTGGAGCAAATATTTGTTTAGCAGATTGCACGAGGGGCAGGATTCTTGTGTGCCTGACACACCCACTGGTTCCTGCTCTTCAGATCTCCAGCCATCTCCCAGCAGGAGAAACAGCTTTTCTCTGTGCTGCTAGCCTCCTGGGGTGGGTTTGACTGTGTTAGCTGGGTGGTACCATTAGTTGCCAGCTGGTCAGATGGTGTCATACAGGCAGCAGTGTTTGGGCTGTTTGTAAGGTGTGTCAGGCTGCCAGCTGTGGGTTGCAGCCCTAGGAGTCCCTTAGCTGGGGTTTGGGACCAGGCTCCAAACTGGTTGCTTTGATGGCTGTCATTGGGCTTTTGGCCTTGTCAGCAATAGCGTCTCCCAGCGTCTCTGCTTCATTCTGGTACCAGCAGTACTAATGTTGAACCAGTATCACAGGTAGTTGTAAAGGCTCCAGAGCAACTTCATTGTGTTGGGATTACAGGTGCACCTCCGGTTCACTCCATATTCAGCTGTGTTGAGAACTGGTGGCTTCCATCCCTCTTTCTGCCACAGGCCCTTTGCTCCCTGCCTGCCTTCAGCGACAGGGCCTACCTACACCGGGTTACTGGTCCCAGGCTGAGCAGGCCAACCCCCCACCCTCCCCCCGCCCATTCAAACAATGCTCTCCGAGAGGTGCAGCAGGCAGGCAGGTCCCAAGGAGAGGCATGCAAGTTCTGGCAAGCCTGCTGCTGGCATGTACCAGACGACTGGTGTTTTCTAGAGTCTCAGTGTTTCACTTCCTGGAAAGTCTCTGAGGGGGCAGGAGAGCAGCAGCCTCTGAAACAACACACAGTCTGTTCACCCAGGAGTCCCTGCTCTCCCATGGCTTGTGCCAGTGCAAGGGCTGTCTTAGTGCCTGAGAGAGGGCTGGGGCTCCAATGTCAGGCAGAAACCTTGGCTTTCTTGAGGTGGGCTTGACTGATGGGGCTGCATGCACCATCATCTGGGAGGTTCGCCTACTGCCTTTGGTACCCTGGGCCCCGAGCCCTGCCCAACTGGTCATACATGTGGATCCTTAACATCTTGGATTTGTGTGGATGGAGTCACGGAGAACCTGTGAAATGTTGGCACCGTGCAGGCAGAATAGTCCAGGATGGCTTGAGACTAAGCAAAGGCAGCTAGTATAGGTAGTGAGGCTCAAACCACCCTCTGGAAAGAACTGTTTCAGCCACAGGCTGTAATAGAACAGACTCCCGAGGGAAGCGGGGGAGATGCCATGATAGGAATTGTGACAGACTGGACTGGACTGGAAGGGGTGGACCAGGGAGAACATAGTTACATCTTCCTCCTCTTACCTTGCCCAAGTATTCACAGTTACTGAGCACTAGCCAGGCTGAATCCGCTGTGTGGTCTTGCTGCCTTGCAGGCCAGAACTTGTGGCTGAAACTGGGGAAAACCCTTCCAAAGCTGCAAGAATAGAGAACCCATTTTGTGATTTTTTTTTTTGAACGATGGGAAGTGACTCAGATGCTTGTCATATGACAGGCTGATGCAGCTGGTAACTCACCCTCTGAATGCTGTCAGGGCTAGAGTCAGAGGTGTTGCTTCTTGACCCTTCAGGAAAGTCTTCCCTCCTTCTCCCACTGCAGCAGCACAAGAGGGCTGGGAGCAGCCTGTCTGGGATTTCTGTTTTGCCCTGCAATGTTCACAGTGCAGTGACTACAGGGGTGGACTCTGCGGTAGTTTCTGACAGGCCTGAGTGCCGGACATGAGTGCAGGCACCAGTCTGGCTTTAACTGGAAAAGCAAATTAGATGGTCTCCCAAACCTACCTGTCCTGTGGGACATATGCTGCCATCTTAGGGGGCCTCAGCCACTGTTAGTGCCTCTGCAAGTTTTGCTGGTCAGGGTTTTCTCAGCCTGCTTGGAGGGTTTGGGTCACCCAAACCTGGCAGGATTTCTGTCATGTGATGTGACACTCAGAGGCTAACTCTTATTATTGCAAGTGATTGTAGCAGGTGTGGTGTGGTTCAGAGAGCTTACAGCATGCATTGCATCTTCCAGGGGAAGGCAGCTTTGCTTGAGTGTGATGCAGCTACTGCTGAATGCAGCAGCACTGGACAGCACTGGGTGAGTGCTCTAAGGCACAGATTCTCAACCAGGGACCTCAAGATCCTCTGAAGGGTGCAGCAGGAGGTGCAAGGAGATAAGTAGATAAGGGTAGGCTCAGGTTTCAGGTGCCAGGAGATAAGCAGTTATCTCTCCCTGCCTGACTGCTCCCCTACTTCCACCCCCTGGTTCCTCTGCATGGAGGTAAACACTGCAATATATAGATGAGGTTTTCAAGTGGAGTGCCTGCCACTCTATTCACAATAGCTATGGAGGGGATCTTCAGTGTAAAAAGGTTGAGGACCACTGTTCTGAGGCATGTAGGGAAGAGCAGGCACTTGGATATGGTGATGAGCAGTGTTGCCTCCAAGGTAGAGGAGCAGTGTCTATGTGAACCTGCTAGGGAACCCAGATCAGCAAAGCTGAGAGGTGCTGAGGCTGTGGGTTTAGCACCTGTACACATCTGAACAAGTGCTGTGGCACCTGTAACCCCCCAGTGGTCCAGGCGTTGAGAGCTGCACCCCCAGGTATGCACCGTGGTAACTGCAGGACATTTGCTGGGCTCTGACCTTTTATAAATCTGATGGGGATTGGGATCTAAAGCTAGGGCTCTGTTCCCAGGCAGCGGTGCTTGGCTCTTCTCTTACTTCTGCCTGAGAACCTGCCCTGTGCCTCTTCTCTGCTTACCATTGGGGGGGGGCAGGGGAAAGACCTTCTAGGCCTTGCCTGCTTGTGAGGCATAACTACTGTTCCAGGCATCAGGCAGTTCCCTTCTTTCCTTGTTGGAGCCCTGGCAAGTCCTCCTCCTCAGGCTCACAGCCTTGCTTGATGGATCAGCAGGGCGAGATCCAGGAACTCCCTGCATGAAGATCCATTTCCTTAGGAAAACTCACTCAGAGCTGGCTGGGGAAATGGGCTGGCTAGCACCCAGTTGCTGCCGCCTGGAAGCTGGGATCGGCTTAAGGCCCTGCTCGGCAGTGGCTCAAGCTGATTCGGAACTGGGAGGTTTTTCTGTAGAGCTCTTCAGGAAATGCCATTGGAATGACTTCCATGCTGCTTCCTGTCCCAGCCCAGCAGCAGCATT